GAGAGAGAGAGAGAGAGAGAGAGAAACACACACACAATTGCTGGTTTGGTTCCTCGAAAGATGTTATTTTCTCCCTTTTGTGTTAGATGATAATTTTTTTTATCCTATTCCATAAAAACGCTGGCTTTAAAGAGGCCGATGGTCCAGATTCCAACCTTCTCCACCTTGATAGCCTCCAGGTGTACAAGACCAGGGATTCCCAAACTTTGATCCTCCGTCCAGATGTTTTAGACTTAGAATCATAGAGTCAGAAGAGACCACAAGGGCCATCCAGTCCAACCCCTTAATGTTGGGGCTTCTGGGGTTGAAATCCAAAATACCTGGAGGACCAAAGGTTGGGAATCACTGGCTTAGAGCAGAGGGTCCAAAGATTTGGTCCTCCAGGCATTCTGGACTTCAACTCCCAGAAGCCTCATCAGGAATCCTGGGAGCAGAAGTCCAAAACATCTGGAAGACTAAAGTTTGAGACTCACTGCCTAGACTGTAGTTCTGGTTGCCCTAAGTTAGTACGTTGGCTGGGGACAATTGGCGTTGTAACCAGGGTGACCAGATGTCCTAACTGCAAAGGAGGATAAGGCACCATGAGATGCAAGACATTCAAGAAAAATGGAAGGCATGACCAAATACAAGCTGAAAACGCTCATATAAATGTAAATTCATGCTTCTTAGTCAAGCTCCAAATGGAGAACCTTTTGGGATTCCTCCTGGACAGAAGGTCAAAAGGTAGGGCATGTCCTGGAAAAGGAAGACATCTGATCATCTGTCACAACTCTTCCAATTGATAATCCAAGCTTCCACCTAAATGTCATTGTACTCTCTTCCTTTTTTAAACATCAAAATCAGAGGCACGCAGGACACAGAGGGCTTCTTCAAAAGCCTAACGGTATTCTGAGAAGTTGATGATATAATTTTCAGGATCGGAAGCACTCTATTGAGCCGGGTTGGGAATTTTATGGCCCTCCAGATATTGTTGGACTGCAATTCACAACAGCTCTGGCTAGCACATTGTTTCCAATTTACAGCAACCCTAAGGCCTACCATGGGGTTTTCTTGGCAAGATTTTTTCACAGGGTTTGCCATTGCTTTCCTCTGAGGCTGAGAGAGTGTGACTTGCCCATGGCCAAGTGGGGATTTGAACTCTGGTCTCCAGAGTCCTAGTCAAACACAATAAGCACTATGCAACACTGCATCACATAGGCAACTGGAAAGGATGACTATGGCTGCATATGCACTTCAGAAATAATCCAGTTTGACCCACTTTAACTGCCACGGCTCAAGGCTATGGAATTCTGGGCATTGTAGTTTGTCGCAAATAGCTCTGCCATTCAGAGCAGAGCTCTGGTGCCACAGCAAACTACAACGCCCAGAATTCCCTAGCCTTGAGCCGTGGGGGGTCAAACCGGATCATTTCTGCAGTGCGGATCCACCCTTAACAGCTTCTCCCATTTCTTAACTGCACTGTTTATTTTGTGGCAGCTATCCCCTTGACCTCCGTAGCTAGAAAAGGTGGCTTACGTTTTACACTTTTGCAAATGGACATTTTAATGTCGACGCCTTAAAAACAAGACAGGCTCGTGCAAGGATGCCAGGCTTCCCATTTTTCTCGAGTCTTGGCATTGCATCGGTCAGCAACCAGGGAGGGAATGCACAGAGTCATTTTTCACCCAACGGATCGGGGAGGTAGAGCCCCGTCATGTTCAAACCATTGACCTCCCCTGCCCCATATTTCTGACCTATAGTTTCTGGTGTAGAATAATGCAACATAATCAAATAAGGGATGACTGTTTCCAGCCAGATCCTTTGGACTTGCTTGTCAGCCAAATTTCTCCTTCCTCTCCACGGTCTTATCAGATAATCAAAGCCTATAGCTTTGCAATCCTTACAAATACATTTTGCAGCCAGCCAAAAGGCAAATTATCCACCAAGGCCCACGGATTCATGCCTACTGCGCTAATGGCTGCAAGGCTGACTCCGTTTTATTAGGCTACACTTATACGTCTTATTACTCAGACAATGCTAAGGTCGTATTTAAGGCTTCTGGTTTTTAGTGTTAATCGAGCTTGACTCGCAACGCAGCAAAGATTTATTTTAAAAAATATATAGGAACAGGACAAATCACCAGCTCTGTCCCCGTCATGCTGTTGCTCCCTAATTTTGCATTTGTAGCTCACTCTGCAACTGTCAAGAATGCATGGTGTGCAGCAGTCTAAGGAAAGACAGGAACCTAGAGGAGTAAGAGCTGAAGA